ATCTAGGAGAAAGAAACGAAATGAAACGAATGATGAAAACCTGCAAAGAAACTAACCAATGATCCAGAGAGAGCGTTTTGGTGGTTAATGAATCTTCTTGATTTGAACACCTGGGTTTGTTCTAGTAACGGCTTTTTCCGTTGTTATGTTGTATTTAAGCGGAAAAGTTAAATGTCACTTACCTTGACACTGTTTATTTTAAATGGATTTTTAAATCATTTAAGTTTGTCTCGGGTTGATGGTATGGTAATTATATAAAAGAAAAGTTTACATGGAAAATAAGAGGAAATCGGTTAATATCTTAGTCTCAATGGTGTAATTATAACACGTGATCTCATCAGTATCAGCTTTTACTGGTTTTAATTGGTAGTGTTCGTGTTTTATTCTAATATTGTCTACTGAATAATGTTTATGGAAGATTTTGGTTAGTAATAACCTTTTACCAGTAACATGTCAATATCTGTTTCATGAGTTTCCAGCACATCCGATGTTCGACCATGATCATTTGGAGATTGAAATAGGCCGACAGCTTAGGCCAATATTTTTGACCCTCAGCGCACGTTCTTGCTATGTATACCTAGTAGCAGCATTTGTTGACTTGTTCTTGTGATTTGGCGTGGTAGGATTAATTCTTATTAAAGAAATTGGCGAATCCTGTTGACCCCTTGATTCTTGATAACCAATAGTCTCAGTTCATTTATCTTGAAAATCGGTCTGATACTAATAACCATTTATTGCGTGATGTCGTGGTAACAACCTACAACTGACCAAGACCATCCCATGACTCATTTATAGTAAACTGATATCAACTGCCCCAGAATATTGTACAATGTGTCTCATATGGAATTGGAATCGACTGCTGTCATTGTAGGATTTGGCCAGGTAGCAACAGATTCAGACTTCCTGTAAGTCAGCCTCAAAAGATTCTGTCATAGTAACAACTGATAAATACCGCTGTTTTGGCCAGTTTTGGTAAATTCGTGCTGATTCGTAGAATCTGTCTTTGTTGTAACTGATGTATATGAATTTTGTATTAAAAGTTCTATGTGAAATAAGAAAATACGGCAAAAGACTACTATGGTTTATTCATCAAATCCAAGTTAATAAAACTTACTCTTTTACCTATCTTGATAAAGTGCAAAAGTGTAAAAGTTTTTATATGATTTATACAGTAAAGATTTTAGTTTAATGACCCTAGTAAATCTCTATCAAAAATTATTCCAGGTCAGATAAGTTTCGTACTATATGTATCCTTAAAGTTGCGTGATAATCATGTATTTGGAGCAATTTGCTACCTTCATTATTTCCGCCTGTCTCTTTACATCTCAATTTTAAATCGAAATCATCGTCCATTAATACTGAAAAAAAACGGAGTAGTTTTATTTTTCAACCAACCGTGTGACTTTTCAATATTTGATGTGGCGAAATAACTTCCGCATTCAGTTATTATATAATGGTTTTAAAAAAAGAAAATTAGTTATAAAAGGCGATATATGGTTGGTAATAGCTCACCACTAACGCTGTTTGTGATATTTTTTGCTAATATTTTCATATCCATGGCAGCTGTATAACTATTTAATTTGGTATTACATGACAATTTATGTGTTAACAAACTTGTATTGCTCTGTTACAGGTTTAAGATGTTCTGTTTGTGATAGTGTGACATTTGCTGAATGTGAAACTGCTCCACCTGATGGTAAAGAATGCTGGGATCCTGGTAGTGGTGTACCTAAAACATGTATTATTATTAGAGAACTGGACCAGAATGGTATGTAGTGCAGCCGTTTCCATGTATAAAATGATATCCACCATAGAGTAATATTGGTTTGTAATTTAACGGGTATTCTGTGTTTGTAGGTCGAATTTCTTTTTTGTGAGAACTATACACCAAAATCTAGAGAAATGTCGGCCTTTACGTATCTGAAAGTTTTAACTAAAAAACTCCACCCATTCATTTTTTAAAACCAGAACCATTCTCGTTATGCTTTTTTGAAGCTTTTTTAAAGCCAAATCTAGGTCAAACTTTTTAGACTTTACTTTCAAAATGGTCGCTAATTTGGACAAGTTTTGTTAAATATCGTCGTAACTGATACAGATATCAAGACAGTTCAATCGTCTATACCATGTTTTAGGCTTTTGGGATCCAATGGTGTCAGAAATTTTGTCACATATACCTGCCATCTTGAAATCCAATATGGCTACCATTTAAAGCTATTTTACTCCATATCTTAGTAAGTAATAAAGATATCAATATATACCATGTTATAGGGGTCTAAAAGTCACATGACTCCATTGAATATTTGGGAAAGATAGAGATCCTAGATATCCTCAATAGACAGGCTAATATGAGCTATCATCAATTAGCACAATATGTGAAGGATTGAAGTTAATAAACCATCTAGAAAACACTGGGCAGTTGGTAAAAGGCCACAGTTGCTGTCAGTGGAATTTTTGTATCTGTTACAATCCCAATCAAAAGAACAAAGTGAAATGCAGACTTCTTACACCTGCAGCGATCAGCGCATCCATTTTACCAACAGTGTTTTCTAGATGGTTTATTAACTTCAATCCTTCACATATTGCTTAAAATACCTTTAAATGGTGACCATATTGAATTTTAAGATCGTAGCTATATGTGACCTATAGTTTTTGACACCATTGGATCCAAAGAGCTCTAAAACATGGTATATATATGTTGGTATTGTACTGATATATTTACTACTTAATGAGATATTGAGTAAACTAGCTTTAAAGGGCAGAAATATTGGATTTCAAGATGGAAGCCAAATGCAACATATAGTTTCTGACGCCAATGGATCCAAAGAGTCGTAAAATGTAGGTATAGGCGATTGAACTGTCTTGATATCTGTAATAGGTAAGAAGATATTTAACAAACTTTGTCCACATTGGCGGCCATTTTGAAATTCAAGATGGCTACCATATCGGCTGCTATTTCTCATGGCTCCATGAGATTTTATTGTATCTGTCTAACCATTGATCACCTAAGCCGCCCAACCATTAATTAACTATTAGCACTCTCCGTTTTTAATCAACTCTTTTAAAACAAAACTTTTCCGGAAAATCATAACAAGCACCCTGTTAATAATAACGATTTCATATTAGGTTAATTAAGACTACTTAACTCTATTCAATGTATAAAAAGGTTATGCCAATCTAAATTTGACCGCATTGAACTTATAAATCAAAATATTTTACTCGTATATTAATATAATTTGTTAGAATAACGACATTAACGACCAAAATAAAATGAATGTGTACTAAGTCAATTGATTCACTGAAATAAGAACAATTTTTAAACTTTATTGAGTCAAACAACTTAATTTCTGTAGAGCATTCACATCACGTTAGATTTTATATCGAATTATCGATAGGAAAAGGAAAGCGTTAATTCTATTTAATAAAATAATAGATTTTATACAGCCAATACTAATCTAATATAGAAATGGTCCTCAAATTTACTTAAAGTAACCTTATCTGATAGATAATCTGAAAGTAAAATCTGGACAATATTACGAGAGAGAACACACAATGCATGTTTTAGGACACGATTTGCTCCTAAATTCTACTGTTTCAAGAATTCAATCAGTCTGCGTATACATGTAGTTTAATATAATATAAGTTGTGAACATAGCTTTGTTCTAGAAAGTCCACGAACAATAAAAATAAAATAAAATGAAATTAAATGAAACACTACTGTAATATAATAGTGAAAGATATATCCCATGGCACCTTAATCATTGTTTGGTATACATCTCTGGGTTTGAACAAGAGATAAATCATATCTTCTGTCTACCAAAACTTCCCTAATTTTATTACGACATACATCTAATAAAATGTAGTTTTAAAATTCCCTTGACTTTCTGCGTTAAATATACACCGTAGCTATAATTCGTTTAAAATTATCACATTAGACTCATATTCAAAGCTGTAATGTTTATCGGTTCTCTGAATTTCATATCATTACGATCAAGATATATAAAATATATCAATTAAGCCGTATATTCCTTATGGAATATAAGGTCGACAGCTATAAGAATTATTGTTCATTTATAATATTATCAAAGTTATGTTATTTTATGGAAAATGAGGAAATCCAGATGTTCTACGTTGTTTGAAAGACACAAAGTAGACTTTTATGTCTAATCAATACAATCCAAACTTTGACAAACAATAGATCATACATCAAAATCTTTCGAAAATTAAAAGCTTCACTTTTCAACCAATTTTATCAAAATCTCTAAATCATTTTAGTCTATTCCTTTTCATAGTTTCATTTAGAAGTTTTGGTTCAAAACTGTTATTTTCGTGTTTTGGTTCAAAACTGTTATTTTCGTGTTTTGGTTCAAAACTGTTATTTTCGTGCCTAAATATGTAGCCCAATGGAGTGATTTGGACATATAAGGATTTCATGTCATTTGTCATTTTCATAATTATTGCAGATGATAAGTTCTTCCTGCCTGACTGACAAAATCTATATCGCATACCAATGTATAGGTATTATGTTGTCTACATACAAAGATACTGTGACCACGTAGATCCCTCTGAAGAAACAAATATTAAGTCACTGGACACTTATTGATACAACACTAGCATCCAAGACCAATATAACCTACGCTTACCCTTTGTCGGTCCCTTGTGTTGAACAGAAACTTGTTTACCACTTACAACCAATAAACTAACCCCAGTACAGCCTATAATCAAGAAAAGTGTAAAGAAAAAAATATAGTAAATATAAGAGAGGGTTGAGATAAATATCATACAGACGAGGCAACGAGCTAATCAATAGTACTGACTGGATAATGTGTAAGGAAACAAGTGCCATGATAAGTACTCCCAATATAAATAAAGAGATACTAGGGTAATAAATCGAACACCGGAAGTAATGATCTATGTCTTGAGAACTGCGTCTCGTAAAGACAGTTAATACTTGGGATTAAGTTGAGATTAAGGATTTGAGGCATTATTTTCGCTTAACTTGACTTAGTTGACTGAAACAGTGGAAACGATAAATCAAGCAATAAAAAGAATCTTTTGTTGTGAAATTATTATACAAAACTACTTGATTCATATAGTAATGATCTGTGTTAATTGTGTCTCCTTTAAATAGAGCTGGTATGTTGGTGTATATTATTTAACTATCTTTAATGCTCATCTCCAGTTTTTAATATCAACTACCAACATTAAAGAAAAATAAAATCAATAATATTATTCATAGATTGGCAATAACCAAATGCAATAAATATTATTGTAATGTAACTATTTCTGTAATTTAAATAGAAAGCCAAGATTTTATACAAATTGTCCTGGAGAAACATTGCAATCTAATCTAGAAAGCAATAAATGAATTCTGAGGGGTGACATTTCTATTCCAATTCATTCGCCTCTTATTCTCCTTGAAGCTTCAAGTGTATTGGTACTCGAATTTCCATCCTTTTCAAACGTCACTTCTAATGAGGCTTTAAATATTGGAAGATGTTTCCATTCAAAGAAATCTCGATTTTCTTCGTCTTCAAAATGTTCCAGAAGATCATAGAGGAACATATATGTCCATTGTTATCCGAAGAAGACCCTAAAGGATTTTGTATACAGGAGGTCATATTTAAATTTTAATTGGGTTTAATCAAAGTACGTTCTGTACAATGTGTTTAATGTCAATTATTATATCTGGAGGGCAGAAAGTAAAGTTAATTTTGTTCAGAATAATATTATTCTGCCGTAGGCACAACATATTTCTTTATCCTCTGTTTATCTTTAACAAATGTTTATAAGACTACAAATAATCATATCGGCTTGCAGTGTATATTATTTTATTGATATTGATAAAGCATTGTAATCATAGCTATATTGCGGGTATGCTACGTTGTCTTGACGAAATACATATTATTAGGAGATTGGTTATACGAATTGGTTTGTGTTTTTAGCGAGCTCTTGGAAAAATCCAAATAACGATATCCGGAATTATACTGTATAGTCTAACATCTTACAGTCAATGGCCGCCAATTTCTACAAAATAAAGAATTTGACCCCATGCAGCTACATGAAGTGTAATCTCAAAAACTTGTCATTAAAAATCGGTTTCTTAAATTCGTAGTTAAAAAATAAAAATTAATAAAACACAATATATTTTACATTTGTTTATATACACCATAGGCTACATTTAATGAACCTATTTCTAGTCAACACGTTCGTTGACTTTAAATTAAGCGGAATTATTTCTGAAATGGTTTTCGCCGATAGAAAATAAATATCCTACATTCCTTTCAGCGTTATCCGACCCGACCGGTATCTGTTGGAAGATTTTGTTAAGTCAATAATAAGTGAAAAAAGGCCGATAAAACTGTTAGTCAGATTTGGTGTCTAAACTTTAGAATGCTACATGTCGAGACCAAATTAACCCTATATACCGACGAAGTGAATGACTTTAATCAATACTCATCAGCATTATGGCTTCACGTAGTCAATCTGTAGCTTCCAAACACCAAGTCAAGGTCATATTAATTGTTTATTACCCGTGCTCAAAATGTATCAGATGTGATCGTTGTTTTGCCGAGTTTGGAGTTTCCATCTGTTGATATATTGGTTTAAAGAGACATTGTTCTTTCGTGTATAATTAACAATGCCTTTATAATTGGCTAAAGTTAGAGTCGGGCGATATGGGATTTTTTTGTGTATCGCGTTATAGACAATAATTTCTTATCACGATAGGTTCAAATATCGTGTCATAGAAATTTTCAGGAAATAAACTCTTTATAACGTTATAAAGTATCTCGTCTATTGTTTCTGCTTAAAAGTATTTGAAAACTGCCGAATGTAACATGTAAAGAACATATCATAAAAAGCCTCCAATGGACCAATAGTTTGTAGGAAGCAGATTCGTGGGCTGAAAGAGGTCGGATTTCTGGCCAACCAACCGTAGTGAGATTCACCAAATCGCTATAGGCTTCCTTGAACAAGCGATCCAAATGTAATAAGGTTTACATATAGTCCAGTGTCATAGAAAGTAGTAATGGCGAGCATTAAAGGAGCCATGTTATATTTTATAAACGGTTTCTAAACAGTCATTTTGGTCGATTTTATTAAATATAATCCCTAAACTGATCAGCATCAAATTATCGATTGAATTTTAAAATATATTGATGAGGTTGGTAAACGTTTATTTGAGCTCAGTGCTAAAATCTCATAATAGCGTCTTTTTACGTCTGATATCGCTAAAATATCGTCACAATAATATCACAACGATATATACCGGTATAGGAAAAATGCTATATCGTATCGTCTGTTTTTTCTCATACCGGTTTTTTCGATAATATTGTCATATCGCCCAACTCCAGCTGAAGTGACGGATCAATTTTTAGGCCGTTAAAGATGGGTTCCCTTATTTTCATTTATGAAAATGAAATTACTAATACTTATATGAATAGAAAGTAGAGGTGTTCTAATGACTTGGAAAATACCAGTTGGTCTCACATGTCCATAATGAATTCATAATTAGGTATATTAGAGGAGATTTACCAGCAGAATTCAAATGAATTACCAATCATGAAAGGTCAAAAAGTCTTCTTTTTTTTTGTTTATCCAGACTATGTACATACATGGACATTTTATGATTGGTTAAAACTCTGAATTATATGCAATAAGAACATAATGATATGATTAAGAATACATTATAATTCATTAGAAACACCAATTAATCAAAAACTCAGCCTAATTTGATACTAAAAAATAAGGAAACCCATCTTTAATACCCATTCCCCGTCGATATTATGAAGTCATCTCTTAAACTATCGTCCTTTGTTTATTTATGCAAACGAACAAGTGGACAACGGGTAGCTTGCTATATAGGAGGATGAGAACGATCATATTCCATTAACTCTACTACTTAAGATTGAAATTGATCTCCTCTGAGAAATCATATTACTTTCGTAAGAATCCTAATTATCCTTGGTCAAATATTTCAAGAATCCTTTCATGAAAGAAGAAAATTACCACATTATTTGTGTTTGACTTTTTTCTAATTTCAGGTAAATTAGTAGTATTTAGAAGAGACTGTTCTACAACTAAAGCAAATAAATGCCATGATGTGCCTGAAACTGGTCACAAAGCATGCTCAGAAGTATGTTTTACAGATAATTGTAACGCCTCCAACAAAGCTGCTTCCTCTATACACATTATTTTTATATCTTTTATAATAGGTATTACATGTATATTTGTTAGTTTAGTTTAGGTAACATTTTCTGAAAATTCAACGAAACAGAAACCAAGAAGAATTGCTTGTGTTAAAAATATCGACTAACCTACTTCGAGTGCATCGAGCCAACATGCACATAGGTCTCTTGATTCAAACAAAATTAATAGACCGCTGGTTTTGTAGTGAGGAGTAAATTTGTTATGTGTGTGGTTGAAGGACAGGGAGAAATTAAACATAATCCTACAGAACGTTATTGAATGTAATCGCAATATTCTGATAACGAAATGAGGGACCGGCATCTAAAACTGAAAGATTCCGAGATATGCCAAAACGATACTAAGTATATTAAATGCTTACGGTAGCCTACATAATATTTTTTTTATTCATTTGCACCGACGATCATTTTGCTTCATTAAGCTTATAAGAAATTAAAAACACAAACGATGATGAACAATGCGCATCCTATACGGATCTGCGTATACAGAGACTTTGTGTATTATATGATGTGCATGATGATTTTGATTTTCCAATCGTCAATTTTCATTTTATGTGCAGCAAAAATCCGCATTCGCCAGATGGCGTAAATGTGTCTCAATTGGTTCGATACTCAAGAGCATGTTCTTTCTACGCTGATTTCTTAGCTAGATCGAGGCATTTAACATCTAAGCTACAACAAGGGTATTCACCAAGTCGACTCAAACCTTCCCTTACGGCCGCCATCATGAACTAATTGAAAAATATAAAATACCTATTTCTACTATCATCGCAGATATTTTTGTTTCAGTTTAAATTGTCATCACAATAATAGGTTATGTCGAGTTGCCACCATATGATTCTATAATGTTACATAACACTAGTTGATCTGATCACTTGAGGCCACCTACCGTCAATAAATGCTTCCTCATGAATTCAGGTGTTTGCAACATATTTTCTTATCATCCGAGAGATATGCATCTTCTCAGTTACGTCCCTTGAACATCGTCAATGCGTCGTTAAGTCGCCGTTTCTTTTGCTGGCGCGTTCCTATTTGTAGTTTTCTGTGCATGTTGAGCAGCCATGCAGGGCATGCTTACTCTTCTAGACACCTGATATTTCGTTTTCAAATCAGCTTGCTATCATTATAGATGTAAGACTTTCCATTGTTGTTGCTAATATAACGCTGTTTTATAATAGTTCTTATTGTTCTTCCAAAAGTTGTATATCATTTGTCAAGGTTGCTCCGTGTAGCCAATAAACTGTTATTTGTAATGTTAAACTCATCATGTACTATTATCTATCTATCATATTATACTAAATGAAATTTCGATTTGTTTATCAACGAAATGAATATATCCACTTTAGGCACATGATTCATTATTAAATGATTGTCGGACAGAAAGTCAGAGAGTTTCTGATATAACTATAGTGTCACTGAACCATCAGATTTATCGCGATCTTCTGACAACAAAGTGTTCCGACCAGTATGAAAGAATTACCTGTAACCCACATTGTCCAAGTCTAGATTACGAACGTTCTATTTAAAGCCTTGTAGCATGATAAATGTGACTAGATTGAATATTGGTTGGAAAAGGATGTCCTATTTTAATGTCATTGTAGATTATGAGATTATGATTACTACCAAGGATAGTCCGAAACATCTGCCTCTAATGGATATTTTGACAGTTGTCGGCCCGAGAAGAGACAGTATAAATATACTCTGTTAAATGGTGATTAATCACACCTCCGAAATTGCTTTTTAAATATTAAATTACCTTCACGATGACTGTAAATTAGTGTTGTAACCTTTCTTATGTTAGTATCACATGAATCTGTGACATTTAAACTTTTTGCTGCACACGCAGTTTTAAATGGCCGAGACGTGAAATGTTGTACAGAGAACATGACTATGGCTGAATTACAAAAATATTCGTCTTAATATTCGCCGAAGTATCTAGATAGGATGCAGTGATGCGGAAAGATCCCATTTTACATGGTCTAGTTTTTCTTTCTCTACACTAGCTGACATCTGTCCAAATATCTATCAGAGACTGGAATAGAGACAGATTTTCGGTCTATATCAAGGAGATCTACACTAAAACTAGTTTTTGTCGATGAAAAAAGTTCACAATAAAGACAAGTATGAAGTCAAAGCCATAAACCATCATGGTAGCTTGGAGAGACTTTCAAATTTAGTGTAATTTTTTTTACTCAAATTCTTGATGAGAAATACAAGAAAAAATACTCAGAACCATGCTTAAAGCAAATGTCGTGAAGGGGGTGATGTGATGAATCCTGGTAACGTTCAGAAGTTTCTGAGATTAACAGCTAAACACGATCGACCATTGGCACCGATCAAGAAAGTAACTGACCACAGTGTTTTAGAAATAATAGACAATGTTTAGTCAAGTGGTTTCTTTTCTCTTCAAGCAGATGAATCAAAGTACACAAGTAAAATTGAAAACTTAAATGTTGTGATAATATTTTTAAGGAGGATGTACAGGAATGTTTCTTTTAATTAATCCCCATGGACAATTTGGATGCTGAAACCATTGCAGAGGCCATTTTAGACCATGCGATGTACATTGAATTCAGATTTTAATCTGAGTGCAGCAAAACTTCACATACTAACCAGTATCCAAGGCTAAAATGAGAATTATTGTGAATCCATTCACAAATAAACCTTTAGTGTCCACTAATATGTATGGATACCATTAGGGGCTTATCAGTTCATCATACTGTGAGTCAAGCAAATACTGAATGACTGAAGTGGCTTGTGCTCTCTTAGAAAAGTTTCTTTCAAATGACAAGCAAGCGGTTAATGTTGAATTAAATAAAGGTTGCAAGGCAAACCAGTTGATGATCGTAGCCTTGTTAGTTACCACAGGACTTACAACATACCCCAACTTAAAAAAAAACTATTGCATAATTAAATGACAGAACACAATTTTGTGGTTTAATACTCCTTATAGTTTTATTGCACACAACGTTTCAACAATCTGCATTGTCATCATCAGATGAAATGAGGAAGCATATATAGTACAAGAAGGTATATATGAAACACTGTGTGCAAAAAAAACTAAAAATAAAATTGTCTTCACCCTAAATATCGCTAAAGGATTATTGCATAATTATATGTTTTACCCGACTAGTCACCAGAATCACTGGAGAACGTACCTAAGTGCACTGAAATACATAAAAAATTACCTTTGCCCTACGATATCAAGTTTTTCATCTCTTTATCAACAGGGATATTAATCTCAACTGCAACTTTGATTAATCCTCCAAATGTAGTGATCACAGACTATACTTCTATTGTACAAGTTTGTAGTGTGACAATCTCTAAAATTTAAAAAAAGAAATGGGTATGGATCAAATAGTCCTTTGTAATTTTTTAAATTATTTTGAATTGAAAATTAAGCCCTCTAAATGCTCAAAGATAGCGATGGTCATCGTAATACACCTATAAATGTAAAGGCAGTTGACAATCGTCAATAGCATTTTCATAGTTATGGAGCTTTATTCACATTTTATTTTTGATAAACTCGATTTATTCGAATCCATTAAGAAGTTGGTTTTGTTCAGTGTCCACAAGATTTTAAAAGGGCAATAACTTTCAAAGTAACAAAAATTGTATCGACAAGTAGACCGACTTCTGTAATTCATTTTATGCTAATACGAATGCCGCCAAGAAGCAGCAAGGGCAATAACTCGAAAACTCTGAATTTCAATAGACCTCTCTCTGGATTTAGATATACAAATCTGCTTTCTGCTCTTGTGTTTTTATTAAGTCATTTTTATACGCCCACATGAAATGGGGGAGTATATTGCCGTCACCTCATTCCGTCGGCTCCTTAACAATTCTTGACTGATTTCGACGAAACTTGGTATGGTTGTTTGTAATCACTCAAGGATGAACCCTATAGAAAATCAGACGAATCGAAAAATATTTACTATAAGTTATTGCCCTTGTTCTTGAAATGCTCGTAAACACTCTAGAAGGTGCAATTCATGGCGGATTTTGACGAAACTTGGTATGAGTGTTCGTTATCGACCAAGGATAAACCCTATCGAAAATCAGAAAAATTGAAAAATATTTAGTATGAGTTATTGCCCTTGTTCTTGAAAACGCGTTCAATTTTAGCTTGTAAACACTCTAGAAGGCATAATTCTTGATGGATTTTGACGAAACTTGGTGTGAGTGTTTGTAATCACCCAAGGATAAACCCTATCGAAAATCAGAAAAATTGAAAAATATTTAGTATTAGTTATTGCCCTTGTTCTTGAAAACGCGTTCAATTTTTAGTTCGTAAACACTCGACAGGGCACAATTCTTGACGGATTTTGACGAAACTTGGCATGAGTGTTGGTTGTCACCCATGGATAAACCGTATTGAAAAATTGAAAAATATTTAGTATGAGTTATTGTCCTTGTTCTTGAAAACGCGTTAAAATTTTAGATTGTAAACACTCTAGAAGGGACAATTCTTGACGGATTTTGACGTGTTTGTTTTCACCAAAGGATAAACCCTATTGAAAATCAGAAAAATCGAAAAATATTTAGTATGAGTTATTGCCCTTGCTATTGAAAACGCGTTCAATTTTTAGCACGTAATCACTTTGATGAAACTTGGTGTGAATGTTCGTAATCACCCAAGGATGAACCCTATTGAAAATCAGAAGAATTGAAAAATATTTAGTATAATTATTGCCCTTGTTCTTGAAACCTCTTTCAAATTTAGCTCTTAAACACTAAAAGGCATGATTTTTTCTGGATTTTGACAAAACTTGGTTTTATTGTTCAGTTCTGAAGATTGAATATTTGCCTTCTAGAGTTTTCACGAGCTAAAGATTGAACACGTTTTCCAGAACTAGGGCAATAAATAATACTCAATATTATTCAGTGTTGTGCTAAAGAGTGTATGACTGAAGGTTGAATATTTCATACTGGTGATTGTTACTGTACTGCTAAATATTTATGTTTAAAATCAAATCTGCCAGTGGGCGTATGTTACCTTGCATGGCCAGCTATCTTTTCAAAAATCATTCCTCCGATTGTT